GGCCTACTTTAAGGGATTTGTTAAAATAACATAGTTTGGGTTAGAAAAGATGCAACCTACCATTGGCTTAGATGTCATCTCAGCAGTGATGGCAGTTTTGGAAATGGTGTAACTGATGCCCTTGGCAATTAAACTGCTGTGTGCAGCCACACAGGGAGCTGACTGCAGACAGGGGCCAGAGCCACGCACCACACCACTTGGACATGCAGAAGATTCTCAGCTTGTCCTGTGTCAGTTCTCCTCAAGTCACCCTGTGCCACGCCCCACTTTCCGGGCCATGTCACCTTTTTTGAAGCTGGAAGCTTTGTGTTGCACACGCAGTAGTCTTTGTAGATGGACACTGGAGGGTGGGTGAGCGTCTCTGGTGCAAGGACAGTGTCACTTGTTTGTAAACATCCTGTTGCGTTCAGACAGGTCCAAGGCTGAGAGATACAAAGAGATGCTGGCCATTTAAAAGAACAGAGTAAGCAGAGAAGGTTTTAAAATAGCAAGGCTTAAAGTGATTCGATGTTAATTGAATATTGACTAAGGAAGAGATAGGGAGTTAATTGAATGAGTGTGCTTGGGGTTTTGGATAAGTTTTTCATGATGTGAAGGAAATTATTTTACAGAGTTGGACACGTCAGGGGAGAGGGAGGCAGCATGATCCTTCAGCGCAGCGAAGGAAAGTTTGATGGGAGAAATGGAAGCCTGTTGGTTTGTTTGTGTTTTCCTTAGACCTATAAAATGTTATTTAAAAAATCCCAGCATATACATTTGTGCACACATGCATATATATAATGAAATATATAATTCATGACTCAGATTTGTTTGACACACTATTTTTCAATTTTACAACAATGGTGGCGCATTTGCTTGAAGGGGTCCTTTGAATTTTGATCTTTTCCTGGGCTAGTGTCACAGTCAGACCCTCTGGGTGACATGGGCAGTGGTTTCAGGTTGCGGCTTCCAGCCAGGCATTCGATGGTGGAGGGTGACCCACACGCACAGAGTGCTGTGCTGCTGGGCCGTGATGATTGATAGGTTGGGGTATTGAATGCAGTTTTGACTTACGGTATTTCCTTCTAATGATGGATGATGGGTTTATTTTATTGTGCCCTACCACAGTTCATGGAGTATTGCTACATACATACATATATACCCCAAAATGAAAATATATATACATATTCATTCATATTTTATTATCAACCTTAAAGCATAAGTGCCCATGAACACTTTTCCAGTGTAATTTAAATTGCCCAGGACTGTTGTATAGATGTCTATTAGCTGATTCGCCCAATACTATTTCTTTCTCATAGGCACACCGTGATGGATGTTATAGTTTCATTTTTATGGTTATCAACAATTATTTCACTAGGTGCATTTTGGAATTGTAATGTCAAATGAAATGTAAGATTAGCTTTTTGATATCTACTGCTGAATGATCAACCTGGAAAAATCTGCATTATTTCTCATCCCTTCCCGAAGCTGACAGAGTCTCCAGGTCCTTTCCAGCAGCAGTTTCTATTATTCCTCTTAAAATTGCCAGTTTGATTAATGAAAAGAAAATCTGTATTTAAATTTTTTATGTCTTTCTTGAGTATATTATACTTAAAAGTAACTTTATTAGCTATTTGAGCCTCTGTGCTTGTAAATTGCCTGACCCTGTCATTTGACTGATTTCCTATAGCATTCACCTTCTTCTCATCGATTTTCAGTTGCTTTGTGTACATTAAGTACACTCACTCTTGTTTTTGTGTTGCAGACATTTCTTTCTAATGGTTATAGGCTTTCAATTTTGTGTAAATCCTTCTGTATGTTCATGACTTTTGCTGCTGTTACTATTTTCTTTTTTAATTTTTTAAATTTTAGGCAGTAAAATCCATCACTACACTCATTTGTAGCACCTTTTGACAATGCTCATCTTTAGATTATATAACAACTTGCCCATTGCTTTAAATTTATCCATTGTTTTTATTTCATCCATTTCTCCATTGCTTTAAATTCCTGATTAATTCTGGTAAAAGGAAGGTCTCATGTCAGGAAAAATTTCAAAGTATTACATTCTAATTTACACTTGGAACACAACCACTGGGGTAGTTAATGATTGACACTGTTATATTTCTGCAGTGAATGTTTGCATGCATTGTGTCCATGCTGCTGAGCACCATTCCTCACACCTGGCCCAGGCCCCCCAGAATAGATGGTTTAATGGCCTGAAAGTCAGCGTAAACTTTGGGGTTGACGTGTATTAAATAAGAAGGCCAACTTCCAGTGCTGACTGGCACACTCAAATTTCTTCTTAGGGGCCCTGGATTCTCAAATACTTAACATTATGGTTGTGCTTTGTTTTCCTTGAGGCCTGTGACAGTAAATGCATCTCTTTCTGTAACTGGTCAGCTTGCATGGTTCAGCATAGCCCTCCTGAGAGATGGTGAGATGGAGGGAGGGAGGGACTCACTCATCCTCCAGGCCTTCCTCCGACCTCGCGAGAGGCTCAACCTCTCTGAGTACAGGCCCAGGGCCATGAGCCACAGACCTGACCGTCTCCTACTTGACAGCTAAAATGTGGCTTTCCTTTCTCTTTCCTCCGCAGATCTTTAAGGTGAGAATGGGTTCTAGGTAAAAGGTCAGAGCACTTTCCTGCAGCCCAGAAATGCATGTGACACCTAGATTTGCACACATACCACAGAGAGCCCAGACTGGTACTCCCACTTTTGCTTTTTTTTGGTACCGGGGATTGAACTCAGGACCTTGCCCTTGCCAGGCAGGCCCTTGTGCTGCTGAGTTATCTCCCCGGCTACTCCCACTTTTGACCCTGGTGTGTGTGCAGTTGCCAGTGACTCAGAAGAGGGTAACTGGGTGAGCAGTGATTCAAGAGGAGTGCTACACATGAGGAAGTACTCCCACTTTTGTTTTGACTTTTTTTTTGGATTTTTTCTGGTACCAGGAATTGAACTCACGACCTCATGCTTGCCAGGCAGGCGCTGTGCCGCTGAGCTAAATCCCCAGCCCCACCCACTTTTGTTTTGTATTTCTGTTTTAAATTTGGTGAGTGACTTACAGGCATTTAACCAAAGTAACTGATTGCATTAACCTTATCAGTAATGAGGTTTCCTGGCCCCTCATCAGACACTCAGCTCACTGGCTGGTTGGTATCTCACTGCAAGCCTGGTGGCCAGTGGAAGCCCACCCATACAAGCGTGATGGTACATCAGCTTTGGCGCATTGCATACAGGCATTACTGAAATTGAGAAATGGTGCACTGACTTGTTTGTTTTCTTTGTTTGCACAAAACGGATGCTCAGACACAGTAAATCAGGGTCAGCTGTGAAGAGTGAGCACTTTGGCTGCTCCACAAGAAGTGTTGTAGCAGATGCTCTGGCTGCGTGTGAGTGTGGTGAGGGGTATTCTTGATACAGTATTCTTCAAATACCTAGCTGAGTCCAAAGGTCGTAAAACCAGATTCTGGACAGTGAGTGGGATGGGAAAGTGTAGAGACAAAAGTTTCAAATAAGGCTCTGAGGGGAGCAGCAGAAGCTGGAGGCCAAAGAGGTTTTTTTTTTTTTTTTTTTAATAATGGAACCATGGCTGGGTGAACCTGCACAGTCCAGGGAAAGATATCTTCATGAGTTTACCCTCAGCATCAATACTAGCTTGCTGTATGCATCTCAGTTTCCTTACCCGTATGAACGAGAGATTGGCTTAGCTCTTTCTGTAGACACTTTTTTTGGTTTTCCTTCAGACCTGTGACAGTCTACTTTGTCTACTTTGTAGACACTTTTTAGTGCTATCCATGTGTTCTCAGGTTGTTGGTGTTGAAGACTTGAGGTTGAGGGTAGGTGAGCAGGGAACTGTCTGCCCATAATGCAGGGATGGGCATAATACCCTTAGGGTGGCTGTGTTCCAATTGCAGGAGAGCATCATCCTCCACTAGGATTGGGATTCTCCAGTCCTAATTGGAGATTAGGACACAAGATTTAGTCACAAGATTCCCTGGCCTCCTACCCACGGAAGTTCAGTATTGCATCTTGCTTGGCCACAGTTTTGGAAGCCATGTCACAAGAGGCTAGTGCCTTTGAGTAGAACTTGTAATTATTCTGGGTGTAGTTTGAGATTCTTTTGTCTCTGAAAACATAATTGACTGTTGGGGAAGAGTGCTTCTGTGAAGGGCTTCATATCATGTGAAATGGAGAAGCCAGAGGAAAGAATTTGTGTTTCAGAAAACTGACTAGAGCTCAAAGTGTGTCCCTTAGGAGAAACAGCTTCCTTCTGTGGGGCGAATAACCACAAACCTGTATGGTGTCTCAACAGGAGGATCTGGAGAATGAGAATAAGTTAACATGAATGGAAGCTTTGCAATTCCTAAGAGGTTTTCACATACACAGTCTCATTGATTCTTAGCATGATTCTGCTTGGGTTCCATCTTTATTTACCAACTGGCTTCAAGTGGACAATGAAGAGAATATAAATTAGAGAGTTTAAATGACCTGCCCGTGTCACAAAGCTCATGCAAGGCTTCTGACTTCTAAAATATTGCTATCTTACAAACGGTAGGATGGATGGAGCTCTGTGGGTGTGGCAGTGGGTAGAGATGCATATCATGGTATCACCTTGTTTCCTGCACTGTGTTGACCCTTCTCACAGGGCCACTAGACCAAGGTCCTTGCCCAGGTTCAAGGCTGCAACATAACATGTCTCTACCTCATGCAAATCTGTGTGTTTTCTCTGGGCTGCAACACAAACTCTCTCCTCTGTCCCTGCTGCCATGGGTTGGATGTGAGGTAGGAACAGATGAGTCCTGGTGACCAGTGACTGAGAGATCCATAAAGAAAGGAAAAGAAAACTGAATGTGAAAAGAAAGCTCCCACCTGTGACCCTAGCACCTTGGGAGGCTGAGGCAGGAGTATTGAAAGTTCAAGCCCAGGCAAATTAGTGACTGAGTGAGACCCTGTCTCAAAAAATAAAATAAATAAAATAAAATAAAATAAATAAAATAAAATAAATAAAATAAAATAAAATAAAGGTCTGAGAATGTGAAGGCCTTGGGTTCAATCCCCAGTACAAGGGGAAACAAAGGAAAAAGCACTCTTCTTGAGGAAAGACTTAACTTTTCGGAACCCAGGCTTTCTGGATGCAAGACACTTTTCCAAATGACCCTTTTTCTTTCTGCTCAGTTTTTCCTTTGACCATTTTTCTGAGTCATCAGGCAAGGGTTATGTGGCAAGTTCACAAGCAGCCTCTTCCTCAGGCAGTTGTCCTGGTCACCTCTGTCCCCCAGGTAGTGGGTGCCTTGTGGAGACATGTCAGTCAGGAGGTTGTTTGGGGTGAAGGAGAAGGGCCTGTCACTAAGCTTCACTCCCTAAGTCAGTCACGTTCCCAAAGCCAAGATCACATCCCAGTCAGAGCCACCGCCATCACAGTTCTGCTTCCACCAGCCAGAGGAAGCATCCGCTCCATGACAGTGCTCAGCCTGTCCACCTGTACTTGGAGAAAGTGGGGCCTAAAATAGCCAATCCTATAAGAGGCAGAGTTTGGTGACTCCTCACATATTCATGGCCCAGTAAATTTCAGTATTTGCAAGTTATCTCAGTTGTTTTGTTGCTTGGCTTTGTTTTATTTAAGTAAGAGTTAACTGTCAGTAAGAGGCTGTGAACTGAATGGGTGAATTGCCTTTCTTCTATTTAGTCCCCATTTGTTGAGCACCTACTGTGTGCCAAACACAGAGGCTATCAAAAGCAAAGTAAAACAGCAAAATATGCTGTTCCCATGGACTCAACATGACAAATGACCTCACCGAGGATCTGGAAGTACAAGCAGAGAGTCTGGAAATGGGTATGGTATTTCCTTGACGTTGTCAAATAGAGCAGCTGAGTCAGAAGCATTTTCTGAGGGCGAGCAGGCAAAGCTGTGATCAGAATGCAGAAGAGGAGCTGGCGGGAGTCAGCTAGCAAGGGTGGGATACAGAAGAGCTTTCCACCAGAGGGAAGAGCCCACATCCAGGCCTCATGGAGGGCGGAAACAGGGCACTTTCCCAGAGGGCAGGGCAGGGCAGGGCAGGGCAGGGCGGCTGAAGCATGGAGAAGGCCAGCACAAGGTGAGGTGCAGAGGATTGGTGGACAGCCATGGAGAGCCTTTTAGGCTATGTTAATTTGTGTCGTGATTGTGGGACGAATGAAGGGCCACTGAAGACTGCAAAGCAGAGGTTACTGTGTATGTACGCTACTAGTATTTTGAAAGGGAGACTGGTTACTACGAGGACCTCACACAGTAGGGATATGAGCAAGGAGGCCATTGTAGTCAGGTGATGTGTGGAGCAGGAGGAAAGATGGCCACCAGCAGATGAGCATTTAGACAGTGATTACTGGATGTGGGCACAAAGTGTCAAGGGTAATCCCCAAAATTCTGTATTGCTCAGAAGGATGGAAATATCCTCTACTAAGACAGGGACACTGGAAGAGGGGCAGGAAGAGGGGTTTTGTGAGGTCAGACTTTGTCTGCGTATTAGTGGATAGCTTTGAAGAACAGAAAGCTCTTCTGCAGTGGCCGAGACAATTCTGGGCATGCGCAGCTCACATCATAGAAGATCAGGTTATGTAGTTTCTGTCTCCCAGGCCAGCAAGACAGCTTAGGCTGGGTACTGGTGCTTTCAGCTTTCTGGTCTACCTGCATGGTGTATAGACTTACATGTTCTTGTTTGTTTCCTTTTGACATACGATGGCTGCTGTGATCCTTCCTTGCACCTGAATTCCAGGTAGAAAGTTAGAGTTAGGACTAAGGGAGATGTGGTGTATCCTAACAAATATTTCTTTTTCTACTGGGGAGACTTGGCCTATGTCACATTGCTCTGAACTAAGTGCCAGACAGAGGCCTAGAAACACAGTATTTTTGCTCCCAGCCTCCCTGTCCAGGTGGAGGAGGGCTGAGGAGAGAGGCCGTGTGTGCAGCCAGCCAGAGTCACGCGGAGTTGGAGGTGCTGTGGCAGCCAAGCAGAGATGCCGGCTGGCATCGTTAGAGATATTGACCCAGTGCTACTTTTCCTCCTCCTCCTTAGGGGCAAGAGGTAATTTGGTGACACCTTTAAAATAAGGCATTTAAGATACGCATGCTGAGTTCTCTACTTCTCAAAGTAAGGGGAGAGCAGAAAAGCTCGGGCCAGCAAATCTGCTCACCTGAAAGGATGACTTCTGAATCCTGACTACCAGCGTGTTGGAGGAGGTGATGAAGGGAGCTTTACACAGCTCTGTGAGGCACATCTTGAAGACAGCAGGGCATGGCCTCCCTGACCTCATGACGACCAGAGCAGCCTCTCTGACAGTGGGAGAACCTGGGGCACCAGCTCCTGGTAATGCACCATAATGCACTTGGGACGCACTTTAATGCACTGGTTATAATGATGGTAATAATGTTCTTGCTTTACGGGCTGAATCATGTTTCTCCCTGTTTCTCCTTAGGAAGGGTGGCGCCATTGCACAGGGGACTGTCACTGCTAAGGTGACAAGTGAGTAGAGACTTGAGGGAGGATGCCAGAGGATCCTGGGGCGGCAACTGAGGCAGTGTTGGGAACAGGAGTAGAGTGCCAAGTGGTAAGCAGGTTGGCACTGGGCTAATAGAAGAGGGAACCTATAAATTCAAGGGGGGAAATGGAATAGTAACACCAGTCTTCCACTTAAACAGTTTTTCAGAGCATTATGAAAATGATACACACTTAAAACATCATCCCAAATAGTCTTCAAAAAGCTTTCATATTCCAGCAAGCAAACAGCGATCTCAGAAGAGGAATAAAAGAAAATCTAAATACAATGGTAATGAATGTCCTACGGATAAAAACAGGTAACAGCATGGTGATGACAGACACACGCTTTGCAGCCTTTGGAATTTGGCTTCCCCCATGTGAGCAGCTCTGTGAGTTTGGGTAACTTAACCTCTCTAGGCCTCAAGTGGGGAGTCAGATAGTACCTACTCCCTAGGGTTGTTTCATGGACTGAAGTATCAGTAATGAGTTATGAGAAATATGGAGTAACGTGTAAAAAGGGGGCCTGTAAAATGTGCTCCATTAGCCATTACTGGAGGGAGCTATTTACTCCTCACAGGTACCACTACTGTTATTGGAAGGAAGGTGAGTGATAACACAGACCAGAAGATGTTGGAAGCCAGAAGAGGAAGATTTGAAGGTTGTGAAGGAAAGGACGAGTGAAGGGCTGGGGAGATTTTACGTAGTTAGCTGGACCTTTTAAAAAATAAATAATGCTAAATGTTCATGATAGGTTTGATAAAATATAGGCCAGGGCTGGGGATTTAGCTCAGCGGCACAGCGCCTGCCTGGCAAGCGCAAAGTTGTGAGTTCGATTCCCGGTACCGGAGAATAACCAAAAAAACCAAACAAACAAAAAAATGAAATAAAATATAGGCCAAGAGCTTTTTACTTTGTGAGGCTACCACCTTTCTTTCCTCCCTCTCACTGTCCCTCCCTCCCTCCTGCCCTCCCTCCTTCCCTCCCTGGATCAAACCCAAAGCCTTGCTAAGCACTGAGCTGCATCCCCATCTCTCATGCCCTCTACCTGCCTCACTGGTTTTTCTTCTCCACCTTCTGTTTTGTTCTACTCTTCTGTTCCCAGGCTGTCATTTCTGTTACGTGAGTCAGTAAGGCCCTTGTGACCCCTATCTCCTCTGAGGGCAGCCAGTTAAGCATCCCTGCCTTCTCTCCCCTTCCTTTTCTACCCCATAGGCAGCGCCCCTTCTTCTTCTTTTTTTTTTTTTTTCTTGGTTTTTCTCCGGTACCAGGAACCGAACTCACGAGCTTGCGCTTGCCAGGCAGGCACTTTGCCGCTGAGCTAAATCCCCAGCCCCCGCCCCTTCTTCTGTTGGGCCTCATCTCTACAGAATCCTGCAGTGAGTACCACCCACCACCACCACCCAGCAGTCTGTGGTCTCAAGCCCAGAGCACCGCAGCTCTTCTCAGCCTTTCTCCTGCAGGTTAAATCACGCTGCTCCACACCGGAGCCCTCCTCAGCTCTTCCCCAGCGCCTCTCCCTGTTTGCTCATCCAGCCCATGCTTGCTGTCATGTGGGGCGGTGTGGAAAACATGGCCAGCCTGAAGCCCCCATCTGTGTTTTCACGGAGCTTATAGGGTGCTGGGGAATGAAGCTAAGCAGGAGCAGTGCTGAATAAATTTATAGTCACAACTGCGATGGGCGTTGGGAAAGAAAGCACAGATGAAGACATGTCCCGGGACGTTCTGTTTCTGCTGCCACCTTTGAGCCCTGCCCGCTGCACGTCATCCCTCTTTAGTAAGGTGACTTCCAGAAACCCTTTGTGTCAGTAAGGGTGGAGTGTGGGTAAACAAACCTGTCAGGCTTATGTAGAAGGAGGTCTTGAAGGAGGCAGGATAGGTTTAAGGATGCCAGGTTTCCTGGTGGTGTTGAGATGACTGCTCCAACATAAACAACCCAGGCTCCATCCATTGATGCCCCAGGCAAGAGGGAAAAGGAAGGGCAGAGAAAGCTGTCCGGTCCTCACCTGGCTTTCTCTGTATCCAGGACACGGTTCCATGTCTCACTGCTGGTGTCAGTCGCACGCTGTCTCCTAAAGATTAGCCTGGAGGAGTGGGACAGTCTGACTAGGTTGCCACATGCTTGCTGAATACCCAGGGCCTGAAGAGGGGCTTAGCTGCTGTGAGCATTTGCAGCTTAACTGACCTGGCTTCCACCGACTATGGGAAAAGGAACGATGGCCACGGGGTCGATGGCCGGCACTGTCTGCCCAGGGGCATATCTGTGGGGCCTCCCAAGGCCAGATTGGAGAGATGCCATTTCCTTCTCTTCTGCGTTCTGTGTTCTGCCTTTGCTGACATGTTCCATCACATCTGTTGATTTTTTTTTTTCCTTAGGTACCGGGAATCGAACTCACGAACTTGCACTTGCCAGGCAGGCCCTGTGCTGCTGAGCTAAATCCCCAACCCCTTCCATCACATCTGGAGCATGACTTACCCTGTCCCGATGGATTCCCGCTGAAGCTGACCCAATGCAGAGCCAAGTGCAAGGCATTTCTCGGGGAGGCACAGGGACTTGGTACTGGGAAGAGGGTAGGGATACCAGAGTGGCACACAGACCAGCTACCAAGCCAGTGATGGCGGCTCACACCTATGTGGAAACTGGGAACATATGCAAAGCATGTCTCACTATCCCTTTTCCTAAGAGACAAAGGAGCTGAAGTCTTCATGCCCTAAGTCCCATTCGCCATTGGCTGAGGGCTGTCCCTGGTCTATTAATTCTCCAGCACTGGTGGCCTGCGAATGTGGGCTCTGGAAGGAGCTGTCAAGCTCAGAGATGCAGGCAGTCAGCAGTGGAGGTCAATGGAAGCATGCAGAGATGGGGGCACCGACAGCGTTTACCACACAGCTCGCCTCCAGTGTATGAGGGCCCTTCTCTGATGTGTGTCAGGGTGCTTTGGTGGGATGTTCCTGACTCAGAAGTGTGACTTTATCCGTGTTCACCAAAAACTGTGTGCTCCTCAAAGTAAGAGTGGGTCAGACTCATATAATTGCATCGGCACAGTGTCCTGTCCAGTACTGCATATAAATAACCACACTGCGTAGAAATAACTTTCTCACATGCATTTTGATGGTGTCACGTTGAGGATTAGAATAGCTTCTTTCATTCCACAACATTTAGGCCAGTAGACATCATCATGATGAGTCTGTAACTTAACCCGATTCTTATGGTTAAGTGAGGTAAGTGGTAGAGTCCTTTTGCAGACCAGCTTTTGTAACACAGGGTTGATTTACAACACACAGAGAAATGCAGCTTTGGCAGATCCCTATTAGTTTGATTAGCATCACCAACTCAATGGAAAAAATTCAGTACTCCAAATTCTAGAACCAAAATCACATTTTTAGATGTACAGATTTCCTTCTGTGTCTTTTGAATCTAAATGAAAAAGAAGCATAACAATTTTAAAGTCTTTATATAGAGCATAAGCTGTTTTTATAAATGTGGAATAATTCATTGAGGATGTAAGTAATGTTGAGGAGGTATCCTGAAAAAACCTTGTTTTTGATGTAATCCAGTCAAATGGGTTATTTTTTCCCCTCTGGCACTGCCACCCCCAGTACATTTTGACAAAGTGAATTTCCATATGTTTCATCTAAATGAGTCACATTCACAGAAATCATTCAAATTATCTGTGAATATTTTTCTTTCGTTCGTGGATTGAAGGTGGGTGGTTATGAGGAGTGGGGCGGATGATGGGCTTCGTTCTCCAAACCCCAAATCCTTCAGCTGCCTTTCATTCCGTACGCCCTGTGCACTCCAGCTTTATGCTATACCAGAGGGAAACAGCCAAGTAAATTGCAAAGATTATTCAATTCCAGTCCACTTTAAGTGCCCTTAAAGGGAGACTGCACTCACAACTTGTCAGCGGGCAGCGATGCATTTGCCATGGAGAATGCTAGGTGAGAGGTTTCAGATCACGTAGTAGAGGCAGCCCTCTTCTGAAAAGATAATGTCATCTGTAGCCGGCCGGATGGAGCGAGACTCGGGTGAGCAGTACCGAGTTGCTCCAGGACCGAGGGAACCATCTACAGGCTGTCTTACAAGGTGAGTAAACACTGGCATGGTGTGGCACACCTTCAGCCTAAGGGCCACAATTGTTCTTTTAGTCTGTCCATGCCACCTTATACTGACCTGAAATCGACACAAACCTGAATACAAATGTGACAATACTTGGGTGCTGGGCCTGTAGCTCAGTGGTATCCGCCAAGCACAAGACCCTGGGTCAAATCCCAGCACAAACACCCAAAGCAAACAGAAATAAACAGCACCAAAATGAGGCAATGCCCTTAATCTGCGCAAGCAAAAGAGATCCCCTCTGCTGACTGGGTTTAATGGTGTATTTGATTTTCACCTGCCAGTCAAAGGCTGTCTTTATGAGTCGGTACTTACAGAGTACTCACATTTGAATGGCTTAGATAGGGTGGATTTATTATTGGCTGGTGCTTTCAAATGAGCGGGTGGGAACATCTCATTGATTCATTGCTTTTTGAGTTCCACAGTCCCTCTGAGCTCTTGGAAAAATCCCACTCAGTTCATTTTGACACACCCGTTGGGCACTAAGGCTGTGGCTGATGCTGGCGTGACCAGCTAGCCGGACTGTCTGCGATGTTAAGTGCCTGGTAGGTGCTCATAGAAACCCGCAGTTTCACAGCACTGCCTATTGGCTCTGTCTACAGGGATGGAGGGAGAAGGAAAGGGAAAGAAGGTGGAGTGGGAGAAGGAAGATCTATAAATAGATCATTGCATGCAGGAAATGTGACAGGAACGTAGCTGAGGTGGAGGAAAGTGTCTTTCCTCTTTGCATTTATGAATATTACTACACTGGAAGCATTCCATGTTGTGGGGCAGTGTGATACACCCAACCTGAGGTCTTTAAATATTTCTAAAGTGGTGACTCTGAAGTCCTATGAGATGAGGTGGCTCCTGTCTCACCCTGGCTGTCTGCTTTCTGCTTGAACAAGCACCCATGATGGCTCGAGTGGGAACCTGTGGTCTGCCCAGTGTCGTGCCCCCCACTTTGCTGGCGGGGCGGCACATCGAAGCAGACAGCACCTGCGTGGCTGCCTGACTTCACAGGACAGGGGTGTGGAAGCTGTTCGCATCTGCACACACAACAGAGCCAGAAAGTAGACTGGGATCAACCTGTCTCATTTTATTAAAAAAATATTATTTATACTGTACCTATTTCTAAGGCATCTTTGAAATGACTTACAATAAAAGAAAAATAAATGAGACTCATTTAAGAAGGATGAAAAGTTAAAGATTATGTCAAGTAGAAAATGATAAGCCTAGGCTAATAATAGCTATTACAGGTTAACACTAATTTTAGTAGTGAGTTCCCAGGCAATCACAATTTAAAAATGTGGGGAGGGACTTAACTTTGATACCTAAAAGAATACATGTGAGTTCATCCAGAGGTGAGCTTTCTCCTAAGATTGCTAACTCTTAATAGAAACTTATTTCAAGGACCCTGCATGTAGGCAGGGACTAACTAATGAGCGCTTTTAGTGGTGATATTTTTTAAATTGTAGAAATGTTCTTCATGTGCCTATTTCTTACAGTGTGAAAAGGAGCTGGCTGGTTCATGTAGGAGACTTAAAATAATCTTTAGCGTTTGAGTTTTACTTCGACTGAGCTGTATCTTACCCACGCCAGAAGCATGGACATGAGCTTTCTGGCAGGAAATCTGAGCCCTGGCCCTCTTCGTCTTTGGCTGAGCTGTTTTCTGTCCCAGGCTCTAAAAGGACTGGCCATGTGCCTTCCCCAAAGCATTTATTGCCGCGGTTCTGCGGTTCCTTGGGGCTGTCTTCATTAAGAATTCTTGAAATTCCTCTCTTTTCTCACTTGCGGAGGGCCTTGGGATACGGATTTATGGTCCCTTTAGAGCTTAGGCCTGTCTCAAAAAATCTTGGACTGTTCTGGAAAGCACCCGGAGCCTGCTAGATACCTTCTGTGTCCTGCTGGGAATGTGGCCCTTTTCTGTGATGTGTGCTGATTCTGAACTCCGGTGCTCCAGCTGAGGAGATGAGAACCCAGCTTCCGGAGAGACCTTTGAAATGACACACCATTTCATTGCAGTGGTCAATGCCACAACTAATTTCGGCAATCCTTTGTGTTTCACAAAAATGCTCCCCGTCATTAATATTTACAGTATTTTATTTCCCAAATTCTGCCTAGTTCAATGACATCACAGATACTGTGTATCTCATCTTCAAAGGCTATGAAATAATTTGATGAAAGCAGCAAATTGAGCCTGGCTCAGAGCCATTCATACAGCGGGCATAGAACCCAGATGCCAAATGTCAAATATCATTTTAAACCAGCAGAGCGCTAAAGGAATAGAACAGTTTACCTGGATAGCAATGCCATTCCAGTTAATAGAGAACTCAAGAAGGAAATGATATCGGGGTAAAGACACATGAAAAACATTCAATAACCTTCAGAACATATGGAAATTAATGATATTCAAAGTTTGCAGAATACTGAGATTTTTCAGCTTAAAATAATCTTCCTGCTGATGCGCAGTTACTGGAGGGTTCCCAAAATGCCACAGAGAAAATTAGATGCAAGCAAAAAAAGCAAAGCTCTGCTCTGGGACTCAGGGTGTGGGGTGGAAATAAAGTGCAGTCGTTTGTGAAGAACTGAAGAGATGGTGTGTTCATGTTCCACTTTTCTCCTTAGCCATCCTGACTGGTTTGGACAGCACTCTTTTTCATAATTTATTTGTAAAGAGGAGTTTTACTAATTTTCTGTGTTATCTTTGAAGGGGCTTTACATTCTTAAGACTGTTTCATCTATGTATTTGACAAAGCCCTGCAAGGCAGAATGGCTTCTATCTGGAGTCATGGGCTGGGGCTGTCGCTGGGGGTACAGTGCCTGTCCAGCATGCATGAGGCTCTGAGTCTGATCCCCAGCACCCTAACCCTTCCCAGAATAGGGAGCATCAATGAGGAGGTGGGTAGAGGGGGACCCCGCCCACCCTGCATGAGAACTCTCCTAAGACTGCAGAGCAGAAAGAGGCCTGCTGGACTTGCAACCCTGACGAGAACTGTCACCTCAGGAACTAGCGTGGCACGGATGGCTGAAAAAAAGAGTCCACTGGAAGCTTGTATTTGACCATATCACCCATTCACCATCACCTCTTTCTGCTTGAAATGGGAGTTGAATTGGGTAAAAGAGTTTAGTGTAATACCAAATCCCAGGGGTAGGATTTTTCCAAAGACAAAGATCTCCAGTACAAAAAAAGAGAAGAAAGATGTCCCCAAGGTCTGGATGGATGCACTCAACATTGAATATCTGATTGTCTTCTACCCATTTACTATAATTGAATCAGAGCCTCAGAGTCCTTGAACCCTGTCTCCCATTTAACCCCCAGAACTCACTAGCAAGCAGCGTGCCTTCTCCCAACAGTTGAAGACAGGCTTAGCTGATGGGGACTCAGAGTGCCAGGCCCTCTTCAGAGAGCTCTGAGGCTTGCAAAAATCACAGGAGTGTGGTGGGGGTCACCAGTTAATTTCTGAATTATTAAGACATGATTAACAATTAAAGATATTGATAGGCTGTTGAGGCAATTAATTATTTAGGCGTATTAAGTACAAAGTAGAAAAAAAAAAGATTAAGTGCAGTGGGTAAAACTCTTAGGCCACTAAGGCAGGAAGGCATGAAATGCCTGTCATAAAACTTGATTTGTCTGAGATCAAATCACATCTGACTCCCAACCCCCACTCCATGCTGCTGGAGCAAAACTGAATCTCAGGCACGGTTGGTGTTTATTTCTTACTCTCTTCTGGAGCCATGTGAAGCTCTGTACTGAGGATGGGGTGGTTCTTCTGTGGAACCGATGCTTGGGATGTCTCCCTCTCTATGATACTGGGCTCCAGGTTGCACAGTGGGTCTGCATTCCAGGGACTCTTACTTCTGAAGTATGCTTGGAGGGGGGCCGGGAAATGTTATGCCCAGCCTTGGATTTCTTCTTTGCACTTCTCCTTTACCTGCCTTTCAAGGCACAGGGGGCAGTCAGCAGTGCAGGGAACCCCAGTAGTCCTCTCCACTTCTGTAAGCGCAGGGCTATCTCACTTCCCTTTGCGGTGTTCTTTTCTTAAAGTATCACCTTTCTCCCATTCCCGCCACAACCCTCTCAAATGCCTCCTTCCACCTCCAAAAAACTTAGGCTCTCATGAAAGAGGGAAAGAAAGGAGGGAGAGAGGGAAAGGGAGGGAGAGGGTTTTGTTCCAGAGCTTCACATTTTTCTACCCAGCAATACCAATTTCTTAGGAGGCAGGAAACATTAAAGCCAAGCTACCCACATGGAAGTGGAGGTAGAAATGGGTACGAATGAACAGACATTGCAAGACAACCCCAAATTCCCACCAATGGGTCCTTCTATCCTATTTGCCCTCCAGAAAATCTTTAGGAAAGTTTTAGGAGCAATGAGAGTATAGAGGTGCTGATTAGGACAGAGGCTCATTAGTTATTAACACACAGTGTAACTGGAAGAAGGACCACTATGGTTTCCACTCTCCTAGGTGGGGAAGGATCTTCCTAATGAGCTTGTGCCTGGTGCTCTTGCAGCTGCAGACCCAACAGCTGTGTCCGGGGAGCACCAGTGCTCCGGGGATTGGAGTCCTGAGGCAAGTTCTGGAAAGTCCATGTGGTTATGACAATCCAAGTACAGAGAAAACTTAACCCAACCCCTAAGCTACGAATGACCTCTGTCCTCATCCTGCTAATGAAATTTTCCCTGACTTTGGGGGGATTTTTTTTTTTTTTTTGGTGTGTAGCCCTTATCAAAAGAGCAAATAAATAATTCTCGTGATTGCACATTTCAGGCTTGCTCCCCTACTGTGTCCGTGAGTGTTAGGACTCCACAGCCCGGTGCCTACTGGTTTATACGAAGAATAATCCCAGTAGAGGCGCTGTTGTTTTCTGGCTGGACTGCACACAGGTCTGGGACGCCCTCGCGGTCCTTTGGCTGCCCAGAGGGGGTGTGCACCATCCCCAGCTGTGCGGTTCCCAGCGCGGGCCTGCGAGGCCTCGGCGTCTGCAAGGCCTGAGGGGAAGGTGACAGCCTGTTTTGCCCTCCCGGCAGGCAGGAGCTGAGCTTTGACGGTAGTAGGAATGGACAGGGCATTTATAGACCTTAACCCCGGCCTTCCCTTGCAAGCCACGCTCTTCCTGTAATGAACGTCTCCCTGCTGGAAACAGCCGAAGCCAGAACAGTGATGCATGTCTGGAAGAGAATGATTCTGTAACTCCATCAAATGCAGCGGTGGATGCAGGACGAGGATGAGGCTCTGCGGCGGCGACTCGCGCAGAGCGCCCCGGGGCGGGACCGAGGCGGAGCGTGGTCCGGCCTGCCGGGAGGGCGCGGTCACCCGCTGGAGGCGCCGGAGGGGGCGCGGCCCCATTGCCCCACATTGCCTGGATCTCCGCAGGGACCCGCAGCCTGCGGGCCGCTCTGCACCCTCGCTGCCGCTCCCGGGAGTCTTCCTCATTTCTCCGCCGCGCTCGCGGCGGCTCCGCGGGGCGCTGGCCGACGCGGTGTGTACCCCCTGGTTCCCGAAAACGGGCGACAGCGGGACGGCCTCCGGGTGCAGCCACGGGCGTATCCCGGGTCCTGAGGGCCCAGCCTCCTCCCAAGCCGTGTGGCTCCGCGGGTCAGAGACGCCCGAGGCCGAGGTCCTCAGCGCAGCCCGGAGCCCAGGGAGCCCGCGAGGCCAGCGGTCCTCGAGGGCAGGGTCCAGTTTCACGGGCCGCCCCGCCAGCAGTGGGTGCTTCCAGGTGCCTTCCCGACCTGCCCTTTGCCCTCGAAGCTGGGCCCTTCTGTGTCAGTTCTGCTGCGCGTTCTCCAGGAAGGGCTCTTCCTTTGTTTATCCTAAAGTGCCCCCTCTGTCTCTTCCCCCTACTCTCTGCGCCCTGGCCCCCCAATTCTGAACTCTCCCAGGACTCACAAAGATTAAACTTCTCAGAGGTAAAAGTTAATTAAGATTCGCCTCCAGTACCAAAGACGGTATCTGAAGATATTAGGCAGTGACTTACAGTTTTATTTTTGGTCTGCTTACATCTGTATGAACATGTCTTGCTTTTAATTAGATTATCATTACATGTCTTTAGATTACATGTAATACTTTAATGGGCAAACACTGTAGATTAATACTTGATTGTCACCTTCTCTGGTATTTCCTGAAAAGTGTACTGACAAAATAAATGTGAAGTCAATAACCTCGACAGGAAATATGAAACAGCAATTTATGAGAATCCAATCCAGTAAGAGTGCTGGTATCTGTATCCCTGCAAAGTTCAGAGGTTGAACCTTATCTCCAAGGTGACAGTCTGAGCAGGTAGGGTCTTTCAAAGATGACTCAGTCACCTCATAGCTCACAGTTCATGTAGACTAGTGTCCTTATTAAAGAGGCCCCAAGAAGCAGTTTAACTCCTTTAGCCTCTCCTCTATGCCAGAACGTGGGGACGAGCCACTGCTGAGCTCACCAGACTGCAGTCTGCTGGAGCCTTGATCTTGGGACTGCCAAGCGTCCATGACCCTGAGGAACGAACCCACAGATGCTGGCATGGATGTGGAAAGGTAGAAACCCTAATACGCTGCTGGTGGGAGTGTGTTAGTACAGCCATTATGGAAATCAGTATGGAAATTTCTAAAAAAATTTAAAAATAGAACCATCTTATGCTCCAGCAATCCTACTACTAGCTGTTTATCTAAATGAAATCAGTGTTTTGAGGAGACGGGTACAGTCTCATGTTTATTGCAGCACTGTTTACAGCCAAGGTATCAGATCCACCAAAGGTGGCATCAGCAGATGAGCGGATAAAGAAAACATGGTTGGATACAAAGAGACTATTATCCAGTCCTAAAAAGGGATAAGATCCTGTCATTTGCGGTAACATGGATGAACCTGAAGACATTAGGTTAGATGAGATAAACCAGGCATAGAGAGACATACCACATAACTTTACTCACTTATGGAATCTCAAAAAGCTGATCTTGTAGGGAAGTACACAACAGAGTAGTGGGGACCGAAGCCAAAGGGAGAGGGGGAAATATTGATCCTCAGGCACAGAATTACACTTCAGGGAGTAAAAAGTTCTAGTCTGGATCAAAACGTCACACACTAGCTCCTTAAATCTGCATAATGATTATTTGTCTATTAAAAACAAAATAAAACTTTAAAAGTAAATTTCTGTTGCTTATGAATTATCCAATCTAACACATTTTATTTCTTTTTTTTTTTTTTCCGGGTACCAGGAATCGAGCTCATGACCTTGCGCTTGCCAGGCAGACGCTGTGCCACTGAGCTAAATCCCCAGCCCCTAACACATTTTATTATAGCACCCCTAAAGGACTAATACATGGGAGATCTATATCTGGGTTTGCAGCAGGGACTTCAGAAAGGCGCTCTCAAAATTCCTTAAAACTAATCTTTTGCCAATAATCTGAGTCAATAATTGGAGAGTGGAAAAAAGGAACATTGAGTTCAAGTATCAGATAGGCAAGTTTAATTCCTTATAAAACTCTGAGCCTGTCCTAAGGAGATATTTTAGTTTCTCGTATTCTAAAAGAGCACGCAGCAGAGAAGAGCAATGTGACCTTAGCAGAACAATGAGGTAAGAGGCCA